TGGCCAGCCTGGGTGAGGGGCTGATGACTGTTTGCAGGCTGGCCACAGCCCCTTCAGGGTGGGGGTCCCCGCTGGGGTGCCTGGCCAGTCTGGGTGAGGGGCTGATGGCTCTTTGCAGGCTGGCCAAGGCCCCCAGCCACCCAAGCTCCCAGTGGAAGCTGGCAGGAAGCAGGTATCTGTGGTTTATTTATCTTCTATAATTGAAACTTTGTTGCCTTTAGCGGATGCCACAGCCGGCCAGGGCACACAGGAAGCTTGGTTTCTTCCATCGCCGGGGCAACCAAGCCTCCTGCTTACTCCAGCTCCATGGCTGCTGGCCGCCATCTTGGTTGGGTTAATTTGCATATAGTCGCTCTGATTGGCTGGTGGGTGTTGCTCGGGGCATAGCGAAGGTACGGTCAATTTGCATGTTTCTCTTTTATTAGATTAGATACACACCCACACATATATACATATATATGATAAAATATTCAGCCACAAAAAAGAAGGCAATCCTGTCATTTGAGACAACATAGATAGACCTTGAGGGAATTATGTGAAGTGAAATAAGTCAGACAAAGACAAATAGCATATGATCTCACTTACATGTGGAATCTTAAAACAAAACAAAACATCAAACTCGTAGGTATAGAGAACAGATTACTGGTCCAAAGGCAGGGGGTATGGAACAGATGAAATGGGTGAAGGTAGTCAAAGGATACACGCTTCTCTAAGATAAGTAAGTCCTGGGGAAATATTGTACAGCATAGTGGCTGTAGTTAACAACACCATACTGTATATTTAGGAGGGAATAGATTTTAAAAGTTCTTATCACAAGAAAAGAATTGTACTTATGTGAGGTGATGGATGTTAACTAGACTTATTGTGGTGTGGTAATCATTTCAAAATATTTGCATTTATCAAATCATTATGTTGCATACATAAATTAATACAATGTTACAGTCAATTATATCTCAGTTAAAAAAAATACACTCACAAGGTTTTAAAGTAATCTTCCTAGTTTACATATTATACCACTGAATTTAGAGATCCAGGCAAACTAAACTAGGTGAACTTATGTAGATTAACTGCTAAAAATATTTCCAGGATTTCAAAGAAAAAGAAACCCCTACCTTCATTACTTCCTTTTTATTTTTATGCCAAAAGAAATAACTTACTTTTTGTTAATTAAAACATAAAGTTGGAAATCGTTCTGTAAAAATCTTTGAATCCATAAATAAAGATTCTCGATAGTTATGAAGGGGTTAAACAATTGAATTCTGCTACAGGAGGCTAGAAACTGTCAGTATTTCATGCATCCATGACAGGCAATGCCTAGAGGCCTGGGTCATGGTTGGGAAACCTGGCCTTACTTTTCAGACTCTCCCTCAGTAATTCCTTACCAAGAGCACACCTCCAGGTCAGTTTCCCAGTCTACAACAATGCTCCCTTGCACAAATGAGATACAGCACCTTGCAATTTAGGTTGGCAAGTAAAATCAAGAGACAGGAAATTCAGTCTAGAATAAAGGCCTTGAAAACCCTTAGAGTTCTCATAGAGAACAAAGAGAACTCTTCAAGAAGCTTCTTTCTCTTATTCTGAGCTCCCACCTATTCTCATCCTCCCATTTGGCATTACCATTTATAGATCTGGTAAACTACCTCCTTAAAAATTTGAAGACAAATTATTATACATGTGGCAACAGCATACATTTTTAAAAGGATATGAATCCAATACAATAGTAAAGTTTGAAGTATATTTAATAAAACTACTTCTAATTGAGAACACACCAGATGCAGGTTCATAGAGACCTACTAAATACACATATAACTAGACCATTTGTCTGAGATCACCATCTCTTCTGAATGACTGGGCATCTGTTCTGATTAGCTGGTGTTCCTGTCATACCATTTGATAAATATTTTGTATATCATCCTTGTGTATATGAAAACTGAAAGAAGAGCACTTACCTTCATTTTTCCACTGTATTTTGGGTCAGAAAGTGTTTCAAAGGCTGCATCTTTGCTTTTCTGCACAAAATCTGGGAATCTGGAAAATACCTGGTCACATATCCTTTTGATGAGTGTTTCCTTAAAAGGAAGAGGTAGGTGAAGAGAAATATCAACTTAACACATTTAAACTTGTATAAATTGAATATAAAATTTGAAGAAAGACTTATTTAACTTGTTTAAAATTTCTCACTTTGATTAAAAACTTAAGTGCATATACTTCTTTGGCACATAAATTAAAAATGAGCAAGTCAGTTTCCTCTTAAATTTCATACAAAAATAAAGATATTTGGTTGGAAATTTCATATAAAATATAAAGTATTTATATCAGATAGCATCACAGACATTTTAAAAGGCAACCCAAACCTGCTGTTTGGAGGTGCTAGCAGCCTGCAGTAGTGAGACGTGGTTAGCTACCTTCTGAAGGACTGCAAGGTAGCTGAAATACAAGGTTTTCACTGTTTCACCATGTGAATTGGTCTGCAACCAGAGAAACACAGAAAATAAAAACAAGCAAAGGACTAATGTGACTATGTAACTACATCACAAAATATATTACTTACAATATTTATTATTGGGTTACTATTGGCACAATATATTCTGAGAAAATGATGGTCAAATATTTATACAAAATATACATAAATCACTAATGTGGAATCATACTTTTGGTGAATCACAACAGTGATTTTTTAAAAAAAAATTGATTGTAGAGAGGCAGACAGAGAGAGAGAGAGAAACATCTATATGAGAGAGAAACATTGATCAGTTATCTCTCATATGGGCCCAGTTGGGGATTGAACCCACAACCTGGGTATGTGCCCTGACCAGGAATCGAACTTACCACCTTTTGGTGTATGGGATGACACTCTATAAAACAATACAGTGATGTTTTTAACAAAAGAGGGGAGAATGACCTCATTCTAGAAAGTATTTATCCTCCTGATACAGTCATAAAAATGCTGCTGTAAGAGATAATAAAACTATAGGGTAAGGTGGCAGTGTTGTATAGACCAGTGGTCGCAAACCGGCACTCCACGGACCACCGGTGGTCCGTGAGATCCAAAAGGTTGGCGACCGCTGGTATAGACCCCTTTACTCTCGCCTCTCATTTATATTCCAAGGTTTCCTAGGAATCTGAGCTATTACAAAAAAACTGAAGTGGTTAAAAACAGCAAAATGAGAGATTACAATAAATATCAATCTAGATAAATATTTATCTAGGTCCCTCTATGTATGAAGTTATGTGACAGGTAACTTGATAATAAAATAGAAGTGAAAAAGAGGCAGGAAATATAGATAGAAGGTAAAAAAAAATATGCTTCTAAATAAAAATAAAATACTTTCTATATTATACACTATTTCTATTAAAAAAATGCTACATCTCACATCAGAATAAGGTTTTAAGCCTGTAATGAAACAGTAAGTTTACTATTAGTGGATAATAGATTTCCTGAAAATGAAGTAAGATTTTAAGATGAAAGTAGAATATTTCCCAATGAAAGCTAAAAAGGAGGATATCAAATTGAAGCTACTTTCAAACACTAGCTTTTAAAAAATATATTTGAATCTTGTATTTTGCTGTGATCACTATTTGATATTATAAAATACTAGTAACCCAGTGCACAAAATTCGTGCACATTAAAAGGGAATTAATTAGCGAAATATTTTAATATTGCTATTTGCCCTTTCTCTATAATAGAAGTGTGAGAGATGAAAGGAAATTAGTAAAATGTATATGAAAATAATATATAAATGTATTAATAAGTAAACAGTAACAAAAGGATATAACAACAGAGGCATGATATAAAAACGACAAAAACATGATATGAAAACAACAAAAACATGACATAAAAACAACAAAAACATGATATAAAAACAACAGTGATGCAAACAATGACTGATAAA